CCTATATGCAGGCAAATGTTGATTAGGCCAAGCTGGTATCTACTTACTGGCTTCCCCAGGGTCTTGGGAAACGATGTCTGACCAGAATGTGCAAACTGGGCCTTCAAACTTGCTTCTAGGTGTGCACTTAGTATTTCTTGATTCTGGTTAAAAGAGAAAACAAACAATAAAAAGATCACACCTCTAAATGATACTTCTTTGCCCTTGCGTTGATAGTTGTGAGCTGTTGCTCTTTATGCCTGGAAGAATTACAAGGAATAAATCTACCTCATTTCTGTAGGTGCCAGGGCAGATTAGAATTTAAGGAAGGGAGACTGAGATGGGAAAATATGCACACTCCAGGTATCCTCGATTTCTTCTTCATGGCTTCTAAGCCAGGTGTTAGCTGAGGCCAGCTGGCTTGAAATGTGCCTCTGTGGTCCCAAAGAAGTGTGAATAAGAAGCAAGCATAGCTATTACAGAAAAAGCTCAGCACACCACTGGAAACTGTGTACTCCACCAATGGTGGGTAGATATTATACTCTCATATTCAAAGACCAGCTTGTAGCATTAACTTCATGTTCACTAACTCATAATGTCCTAATGTATATTAGTCCTTACCTCCTCCTTCCCTACTTTTCTGTAAAATGAAAGCTGAAGTAGATTTGCCTGATGTCACATCAAAATGAAACCAAAAGTCTTATTATCTATATTGGAAGACATTGGGGTGACATGGGAATTCTTGGATTTGGGCCAATCATACCTGTGTTCACATCCTAATGTGTGAACACCATTAGCAATCATGCGACCTCAATGCATTTTTTTTCTGACCTTTGTTTAATTTCCTATTTTTAAAACAAGGACATGAATATTCACCCAATAGAGTTATGTTGATGTTAAGCAAGTTAATTTGTGAAAAGAGCCTGTAATAAATACTTACTGGAGAAACTTTTATTTATAGTATCTTACTAGTCTCCCTCACACTCAAACCAAGAAAACCCCAGGGATAATCTTATTTCTATATGCAGTTCCTGGGGCAGAGAGAGGGATTCTCTGACCACTGGAAAATAAACTAGATCATGGAGCTACCTCAAAGGAGTAGGATCTTTGGAGTTGATCATACCGAGAAAATGTCTTTCTTAAGGTTTCAACTTCTATAGAGAAATACTATGTCATTAGTACTTGCCTCTTCTTCTGGTAAGAGTTTATATGGTCCTGGCTCGTGAATCTTAAAAAAAAAAAAAAGCCCACAAAAAACAATAAGCCATCTCTTGCTTTCACAACATAAATCTGAGCTCAGTTAGATAGGCCAGCAAACCCCATTACACAGAGTGCAAAGGCAATTACACAATGCCAGCTCCAGCTAGACTCTTAGAAATCTATGACCCATGAGCTTCTTAGTAACCACACCAATGCCTTACTTGGAAATGACTGGAAAATATGGTCTAGACAATAAAGATTCCGCTTTGACACTTCCAGGCATGTCTGCCCTGGCCATCAGTCTGAGGCTACTGCCAAATCATGCCCCCTTTTCCACACCTGAGGATGATGGACAAGGCAAGTGGCTAGAGAACCTGCCCTGTTTGCTGTGGACAATCTACTTTCTCCACCTTCGGTCTGCTTTACCTCATGTTCTCTTGTGATGGTATGTATCTGCCATCCTTTGGTTGTACCACGAATAAGTCACTTTCTAACCACAAAGATCATTTCTCAAACATTCCATTTTTTGTCTGAGACTTTGCTAAAATGAAGTGTCTTGAGTGGTCAGTTCTAATGTCTGAGTGATCTCATTTTAGGCAAAGCCATCAGGAGCACCCAAATAGAACTCAGCAGCAAACACTAACCTCAATTTCCCAGCTTTCTGGTCCACCATGCTCAGGACACTGCTATATGGGCTTTTTGACTCACAATATAATCATTCGTTTCTACAGAGAAGATGAGACAAATGGCTGCCATGCCCCTGGCTATAGACTGAATGTTTGTGTCCATCCAAAATTCATATGCAGAAACTTAAGCCCCAAGGTGACAGTATTAGGAAAGGGAGGCTTTTAGGGGTGATTAGGTTATGAGGATGAGGTCCTCATGAACAGGATAAGTTTTCTTATAAAAAAAAGACCCCAGAAAGATCTTTTGCCCCTTCTGCCATGTGAGGAGACAGCAAGAAGGTGGCCATCTATGAACCAGGAAGTGGACCCTCACCAGACACTGAATCTGTCGGTGCCTTGATCTTGAACTTCCCAGCCCCCAGAGCCATGGGAAATAAATTTCTACTGTTTGCAACCCACCCCATTTATTGTGTCATGTTATAGCAGGCCAGATGGACTAAGACACGCCTTGCCCTCCAAAACATTCTCACCCTCTCCTTATACCACCTATCCAAACTCCTCCCCCATTCATCTGATGCCCCAGAAATAAATCTTCCATATTTTCAAGGCATCTGCCTCCCAATCAGGTTGCAGAAGTTATCCCATCTCTGTGTCTCAGGTTGCACCCACATTTCCCCTTTCTGGGATGAGCAATACTTATAACCACTCATACTTTCCCTAGAAATAGTAACATTTTCAGAACCACTCAGTGATCCACAGAAAGGAGATTCCCAAACACTCAGGGGGAAAAATTGATTCTGGGAGGAAAGTATGACACCTGAGAATGTAAAGTGGACAGCTGTATGGACGTGAAACTGAGCAGGATGACTCCCTGCAACGTCAGAAAGCTCTTGCTAAGGCCTAACCTGTCCTCTCTCCAAAGCTGGAAACAGAAAACATGCTTATTCATCTTTCCTAAGCCATTGGGATTACTCAGCAATATGTTGACCAGTTTTTCTATTTTACTTTGAGTTCCTCTTCTCATCAAGATCTACCTTTGTAGACAAGATGATCCTTACGTGGTCACAAGATAATTTCGGAGACTAAAATGTGTCATGGGTGAGGCTAAATCAGGGACTGGGTTAGGAAATGTCAAAATGTAGCAGCAAGTTGGGCTTATCTGGGTGTGTGTTTGGTCATACATGTATATATGTATGAGTATGTTTACATGAAGCATGAATATTGATGCAAATAAGAACACAATGCATACGTTATTGCAGTGTACAGATACAGTCCAGCTCGATGTTCGGGAGGAAATAGGGGTGGGCTATTGAGAAAATAACAAACAGGTATGTCAAGATCCAGAAGTTGCCACAAGGTAACTATTGAGTGCATGCCTGGCATAGGTGTGTATATGTGCATACCAAAGTGACAGGGTTAATGGACAATGACAAAGACATGTAAGCAAGGCGTTAGCTCTGCCACTGAGTCCTACAGCTGGGAAAGTCACCTTACCCTGTAGTAATCAGTGCTGTAGACATCTCTGGACATGCCGAAGTCTCCAATCTTCACCAGCAGGTTAGCTCCAACCAGGCAGTTCCTGGTGGCCAGGTCCCGATGCACAAAGTGCTGGGAGGCCAGGTACACCATGCCCGAGGCGATCTGACTGGCGATATGGAGCATTTGGGAGAGCCCTAGCTCGCCCTTGGCCTGGCGTGGCTGCCCATCCACAAGGATCATTGCATCTGGCCCATGGGCCCTGTGAGGAGGTGGAGAGAAGAGAAGCAGAGAGAAATCAGGAGATCAAGGGGAAAGCCCTTCCTGGTCCCCAGTCCTCTGGAATGCCCCACAGAAATGAATGAAATGCCCCTTCCCAGTCTGCCTATGGCCTACTTCTGTCTACCAGAAATTATATTATCTAAGTGTGGGTATGAGTGAAACTTCACAATCTGATTCCCAACTAGATCACAGCAGACATACTCAAATGGAACAGGGAATAAACCTACTCTTTTTAATGTTTCACTGTTACCCAGGGGTTTCCCAGTTGCTAGATGTCTATTACAGAATAATTAATAAAACAACCACCACCAACTCTCACATAGCCCTTCCCATTTACCAAGCTCTGCTCTGATTGTTTTAAATACAGCAATTCACTTAATCCTCCCATTGCAGTTTTGAAACAAAGATGAAACCACACATGTGGCTGTTAAACAAGAGCTTCCAAAAAGAACATCAGGAGTGTTTGTTACAGTATATTCCCAGGCCCCACCCCCTAGGATTCTGATTGGCTAGGCGAGCTCATTTATTTGCATTTCCCACATGCTCCCAGAGCTGATGCTACGGGCCAGTGGTCCAGCTCTGGGTGGCAGAAGGACACTGCTAGGTCCCCAATCCTAATGACTCCACCCCACTGCTCAGCACTGGGTAACTCCTTGTGGTAGCTGGACTGGACAGAGAGACCTTCTGACCCTGAAGCAGAGGTCTGAGGGCCCCAGCCCCCCCTCCATCCCAAATCAAGGCCCGTTTTGTTATCCTAACACCTCACCCTGTCTTATTGGTCACTTTTAGTGTTCATTTTTTTCTCCAGAAAGCCCAATGAGCCGTAACCACACGGGGACCCTTATTTATGCAGTTGTGGGCCAAGGAGCCCTGGTGCACAGCAAGGCCTCTGCCTGCTTTACCGCTTCTCCAATTGCCACTGAAAGGCACCATTAAATACGAACACATTCGTTTTACCATCTCCAGCGGGCTCCGCCTACCTCACTCATCAGGACAGGTGCTACCTCGGCTCACAAGGAGGGGCCAGCAGGGGAGCTCTCACTTCGGTCTAGCAGGAGAGCACACTCCAGCCTGCCTCTGAGCACCACCAACTTGGAGATGCAAGAGTGAGCAGGACCAGTGTGGGGGTCCCAGAGGCTGTGTTTGTGAGAGCAGCCTGCAAGCCTCCTCTAGGGAAGGGTTCCTGGGCCCTGTTGCTACGAGCTCCCTGCCCCCGAGCATTCTGGAAAAGCTCGCCCCTGACTGAGAGCGCCCAGAGAGGCAGACGATGGCATCTACTGGGAATCTGGGTCTCAGTGCAGGCTAAAGCCCAGATTGCGTCTCGAAAAAATTCTGAGGAAGGCTGTTGGGTTTGGGTTTGTATCGACTGCCCCATACTGTCTTTAGGAAGGGACCTCACAGAGAGACACACAGAGGTCTAGGAGTGTCAGCAAGTCCTGGTAGAAGTGTGCTCGCATGCACGACTTCCCTCTGCTGTCTGCCAGGGGGAAGGGGGGGTGTGTTATCCGGCACCTTCCTTTGTTTCTTTTGTGCTGATTTTTCTTCCTACTTTCGCTTCCCCCACCCCTTGCCTTTACTCTAGTCTCTCTTTATCTCCTTTCTACTCCCTTTTCCTTTCTTTTCCTTTTTAGCGTGTGTGACACTGATACAGAGAGGCACCCGGGAGCTCTTTGTAGCCCTGCTGGCGGCACTTGGGGCCAAAGGCACTGCTGCATCTATGGAGAGGGTGTGATGGCCCTTGGACCCCAGGGGAACAAAAGCACAGGGGCAGGAAGGGCCGAGTACGGAGAAAGGGTGTCGCCTGGATTAGAGGCTACCGTGGCTCAGTTCTCATAAAATAATAATAGTAATACCTTTAAGAACAGCTACCACTGGCTGAACACTGAGCTACGTGTGAGACTTGTCTAGGCATTAGACATACATAGTCCCTTAATACTCACAGTTAACAACTCTGTGAAGCTGTTATTAATAGTGTTTTCTGGGAGAGAAAATTAAGGCTTAATAACTTGCTCCAGTTATAACTAAGACATGACAAATCTGGGATGTGAACCAAGTCTGTTTTATGTTAAAGATGGAGTTCTCCAGGAAAAGAATCAATTTCATTGTGACTCCAGGTTTAGGAGGAGGCTTAGGACATCCTGCAGATACTCTGTACTCCTCCAGGGCCATTTTTCGGAAACCCAGCTCGTAAGCAGCGCTCCAGGGACCTCTCCAGTCTGTGACCTGGTACCACCTCTTTCCCTTACTCCCTCAAAACCACAAAACCCTATTGAATGTCCCACTTCAAGGGGATGCTTATCAGTTTTTGGTGAGTGGGCTAGGGCCTTCTGTAGCTTACATTTGAACTTTGGAAATCTCATTCTCAGCCATGGGCTTCAAATGGTGGCTGTGGCAGAGAGCACACCCCAAATGTTCAACCTGCTTCCTGAGACTCTGGGTTCCACAAACCTTCACAGGGCTGCTACTTCCACATCTGGGCACTATTCACAAGTGGCAGCTGTGGAAGGTAGAGAAGTCCTAACTCTACACTAGTGAGAGATGCTGTCTTCTCTGGGGACATCCACACCTTGAAACTTCATCCAGAACTTCTGTCTGGGGTTCCAATCTCTTGCCAGTTTCATCAAGAGCCTCTCGAAGTCTAGATGATCTTGCTCCTGCCTTGGGGAATCCCTTCTTACAACAAATCCATTCTTTCTAGAACAGTGCTATCCAGTAGAACTTTCTCTTGGTGGAAATGTTTATGGTGCACTACCCAATATGGCAGAAACTATCCACATGTGGCTACTGAGTATTTGAAATGTGGCTAGTGCAGCCAAGGAACTGAATTTTTAAATTTTATTGAACTTTCATTAGTGTAACTCTAAATTAAAATGGCCATATGTGGCCATCATGCTAGATATTACAGTTCTAACATTTACCCAAAGAAAACCTGCCCCCTTTTTTCCAATCCTCTCTGTCTCCCGATGAATTTATAACCTTGTACCTTCTTATTCATCATCAAAAAGTCTCTGGTAAGAAGGTCTCCAGGAGGAGTGTAAGGTACCAGCCTCACTTTGACGTGAGAAACTTAGGACGCCAAGGGGGAAAGCTATTTGTACCACTGGGGAAGGGTGGCCCTAGAACCCTAGCCACAGGCTGGCAGAGCCTCCTGGTCCCCCCTGGACCCATCTCAGACCCTGCCCTCCTCAGTGCATCCTGGAATCAGGACAAAGGGTACAGGCTACTTGTCACAGCATCCTCAACTTGTTTCCCCTGGAAATCAGGGACAAAGGCCTGCGTCCACCTGCTAAGGAGATGCATAAGAATGACAGCGAGCTTCTCACTCCTCTTCCTCACACTAAGTGTCAAGAGGGGGGGAGTGATTTCTGGCTCCAGAGGAAACCCCAGGGGTTTTGTGGGCCGGGGGTCGGCAGTGAGGGGGACAGCAATCCGCACGTACCTGAGGAACTTGTTCAGGTCCCCGTGCTTCATGTACTCAAAGACCATGATGAGGGGGTCCCCATCGCCGCACACCCCGTAGAACTTGACGATGTGCTCGTGCTGCAGGTTGGTGAGCAGCTCGGCCTCCCTCTGGAAATCCTTCCGGGCAGCCAGGGTGGGGTCCTTCAGGGCCTGGGGACAAGGCAGGACACCAGCTTTGAGCAACCACAGGCCAGCAGGCTGTCTTTTCTCCCGGGAAGCAACCTGGCGCCACACACCTCTGAGTTCCCAGTAAATATGACTTTAAGTGGGGCTTAAAGACAATGGAGCTCAAGCAGCACAGCAAGGCCTGACCCCTTCCTCCCCCAGCACTCCGATCCCTGTAGAAATAGCAGCCCGCTTCCTGACGCCCACACCCACATCCCTCGACCTCGCCGGCGATTTCAGACGTGCCCGTCTCAGACGGACTTCCTCAGCTGAGTGTGGACGGCGGCAAGGGCTGGGAGGTCGAGGGCCCGGCCAGAGCGCCTGCTCCTTGGCTCCTCTGAAGAAAGGGTCCCACAGCTAAAATAAACAGTGCGAAAGCCACTCGCCTTGGCTTTGTGAATTAGCACATGCCCATAGCCTACTGGAAACCGGGCAGACAACCAAAGTCATAAAGTCTCCTTGTTCTTTCCAGGCTTTGTTGTTAGACTGTGACGGAGTCTGTCTCTGCGGAGGAGAGCGAGCACCGTGGCTTCTGGAAGGCGCTTGTGTTCTCCTAACGGGGGTTGGAGGAAGCCTTGGCGGGGGCAGCTATGGGAATGGCAGTTCACGGACAGGAGCGTCAGACACGCCAGCACCAGGCAGAGCGCCACGGAGCCCCGTGCGGGGCGGGAAGGTCAGCATCTGGAGGCCACCACAGTGCCAGAGTCCGCCTTTGCAGGGGTGGGAGACCCAGGCGTGAGGGCGACTGCAGACCACGCCCCTTCCTGTAGGGCCCGGGAAGATGGACACCCCCAGGAAGACCTTAAGTAGCAAATGTGGATTTCCTGGCACCAGAGGCGGGACCACGAGACCAGCCCTGAAGCCCTAGGGAACATCTGGGGACCTGGCATAGGGCGCTGCTGTGGGGACACTGTGACACTGGCCAGGATAGATGACAGTCTGTGAAGGGGTGAGGCCCTGCTGCTGGGGAAGCAGCCAGTGCAGGTAGCCCCCACATTTCTCCAGCCTCTGCACCCTCCCCACGAGGTCAGAAGGCAAATAAAGCCAAACATCCGCTCGCCTCCATGGACACAACACGAGGCAAATTTGCACTACCCGTTCTCAGGTCAATGAAAATCTAGACAGACTGGAGATCTGTTTGCATTCTCTCTGCTGGGCCTCTGGCCTTTGCTAGCTATTCAGGCAGGCGGACCCCTCCTGTAGATCATGAAGCGCTGCCTCCCTAGCCAGCGCCTTGTCTCCTGCGACCACAGCCCCATTAGCTGGTATCTACAGGGCTGCCTTGGTTCCAGCACTGCCATACGGTGAATCTGCAGAAGGAAGTGCATCTAGGGGCCCATCAAACTTCTCAGTCGACAGCACGCATCAGAGATGATGGACCCCCAGCCTGAAAAGGACCTTAGGTACATTCTGTTCCCACCTGCTTATTTCTGGAGTTGGAGAAACTGAGGCACGGCCTAAGAATCAGCCTGCATTCATGCATCTTGCATGATAGAAATCTGGAGTTGGAGTGGACCTCAGTGATCTCCTGGTGGGCGTCACAGTGCTCCAAAGTTCAGGAGCAATGCCTCTAGGGCCATCAAGGGGTGTGTAGTTTCTCAGCCAGAGATCAACCCCCACTCCAACTTCAACAAGCATCACCTTCCATTCTTTTTTAAAATTTTGAGGTTTCACAAATAAGTGCTATATTAAATGATCCTACTGCCGACAAAAATGTTGAAAGTTATCTAGTGTATCTTTCCCATCTTACGGATGAGAAAAGTGATGTTCAGAACGGGACAGTGGCTTGCTCAAGATCATGCAACAAGCAATAGCTTGGGTCTGCAGCCCGGGATACTTTCCTGCCCTGCAAGCCTGCCTGAGTTAATGTATCAGATGCATTAGTCACCAGGCAGGTCCCCAAGGGCATGGCGGGCAAAGGAATGAAAAGACGTGGGAGTGCAGAGGAGAGGGTCAGGAGAGGCAAGGGCCATGGGCTGCCGGCAGAGTGGCCGGTCCCAGCCAGGGCTCCAGGCTTGCAGGGTAGGCCAAGGACAGAAGTGAGAGGTCCATTCTCTCAGCCCATCGCTGGTTTGTCCCAGACCTGACTGTATGTGCTCTCACCTTCAGCTGCAGCTGCTCGCTCTGGGACGCTACCTAACAACACAGGGACAGGCTGTGGTGTCCACCCACAGCCAGAGCGGAGACATTTCCGAAGTCAGAGCGCCGTGGTGGGAGAGAGCCTCTCCCGGTGACCCAGCTCGTGGCAGCGGCCCTGAGCCGCACGGGCTGGGGCGTGGGTATAGGGTGACTGAGAGTGATTTATTTATTTTCAGGAAGAAAAAGAAGGAGGGCAAAAAGGAGCCCAGCATGGGTGGGATTGGAGAATATAAAGATTTATGTGAACTCTGGATTTATGGGAGGGAGAAGTAGATCAAACTTGGGGCCAGCCAAATGGCCTCTCTCCATCTCTTTAAATCATCCTCTCCCACAGTCCGGGCGCCGGTGACATCCACGGGATGTTTCCGTTCTCAGCTCCCGAGCGGTGCCCGCCAGCGTCCCCCAGGCCGGCACCCTGCACTGCCAGGCAGATGTGAGTTCCCCGTGTGGGAGGCGGGGTGCGATTCTCATCTTCCACACCCTCCCCCCGCCTCCCCAGTGGGGTTCCCAGCCCTGCCAATATCCACAGGGCAGAGAGAGCTGGGATCGGCCCTCCTTCTCTCCCCCTGCTTCTTCCAAAGTGTGGGGACGTTTTCCTTCCTGTCTTTCCCTCTGCGTGCACCCGAGCTCAGGTCCACCTCCTGCCCTGCGAGAAGGGTTTCGGGGAGGCTGTTTGGCTGGGTGCGAGGGGAGCAGGCTGGACAGCAAGAACACACTTCTCAACAGCTCCCAACTCCTTCAGAGTCATCTCACATCTTCATCTCGTCCAACCTAAGGGTTCTGCCACCTTTCTGTTCTTCTGTCGAGGGGATGTATTTCAAAAGATGCTCAGTTTCAGATTTCATTAATGTCCTGAAACCCATTTTATTATACACACAGGGATATTCACATTCCTACATGTTCAAAGTCCTAAACGGGTAAATGTACACACATAGACAATCAACCCCCTTTAATTATGAAAATCACCTTTCTTTTAGTCCCTCAAAATCCATTGTCACTTCCCCTTGGTGAGATTCCTAAACAACTTTACCAGGGAGGAGGATGGGCAGTTATCACATATATGGGTGCTCCTCTCTCACCTGTCTTCCTGACATTGGCGTCCCACTGTTTTTAGGATAAAATTCAAACTCCTTAACTCAGCCTTGGCCTTTTCCCAAAGGTCTGGTCTCCTCATCTCTCTCTGCCTCCTTGCTTCTCCCACACTCTTTCCCCCTCATTCATTTTACTTCAGACTCACTGGATTTTCTGTCCCTTGTACCCTCTAAGCTTTTATGTACCTTTGGGCCATTGCTGTCCCTTTGGTCAGAAAAACTCTTCCCTGAGCTGTATCTACCTGGCCTGCCAGATTGGCTGGCACTGCCCATAACCTCTGCAGAGCACGAGACCCTAAGCTCTCCCTGCTAGGTGGACATCCAGAGACAGACTTCTGTCCCAGAAAGGGGCTTACCAAGAGTCAGCTGTGATGGTTCCCAAATTCATTCACAACAGTTAAACCTGTTAATGTAATTACTTAACGTAATGAAACGTTCTAGAAACCAATGAAATATGAGTACAGGTTGGGGAGTTTTTATGGAACCTAGGATGAATGCTTTTGAAAGACCTGATGAAGGTCAGTGGTTAAAAATACTGTTAAGAGTGGAAAGAGAAACTATTTAAAAAATGGGAAAATAGTTAAACTCTGAGATTCTGCATGCAGATTGTTTCACAAATGTTTTAAGCTCATGCTCCAATTTAAAGCAACTGAAACTGAAAACCAGGAACATACAAAACCAAAACCAAAAAAAAAAACCCTCTAAACCAAAGGGAACTCCAAAGCTGAAGTTCAGACATATTGCAAGAAATATAATGCTAAACCCAAATGACTAAAATCACCAACAACCAGAATGTGAATTTCCTACAGATACATAAATTTTATATACAGACTCATAAAATTTTTAAAATAAGTAAATGTTCTAAGAGAGTGAAGAAACAATAATTAAGAAAAAAAAAAAAACAAACCAAGAAGGTATACAGCAAGATCAGGGAGAAATAAAATCAAGATAACTGCAAAATTAAAAAAACAATTAGAAATGTTGGAAATAAAAAATATATGGTCATTGAAGTTAGCAAACCTCCATAGACAGGAAAAACTCTAGACCAGATTGAAGCACAAGAAGAATTCATGAATGGAAAGACCACGGAGGTTCCACTGGGACAGAGCATAAAATGACAGAAGGGAAAACAGGAAGAGGGGAGCGGAGGGCTACATTCCCTCCTCTGAAAGGAAGGGGGTCGCCGGGGTTTGAATGTCACATAGGTGTTCTGTTTGTCAAGTGACTAGCTAAAAGTCACACTACCTATGCAAAACTCGAGTGTATTGCTTTATTTTAATGCCACATTTACACTACACAGATACACAGATGATGCTATGTCCTGCCCTGCCCCCCTTTTCTCTCAGGAGTATCCCCCCTGTCCCCACCCAGCAGGCTGCAGCACCTACAAATCAGGCTGCAATTTCTGCTCCCGAGCTTGCACCATAGCAACAACTGCCGGGCAAAACGTTCTTGCCAACTGATTTAAAACCACGATTTCAAGGAAACACAATCATGGGGTATACTTGTAGGTGTTGTCTGGAAGTACAAAATCAACCTGCATCAACAGAGAACCCACTCGAGAGGGAGGAGCCTGCAAAAGTTGTGAGCTCTGAGGAGGCAGCAGCAAGTGCCGCTTCTAGAGTGTTCTCAGGAGGAGATGGGCTTCTCTGGGCTGATAGGATCGCTAGGCGGATCCGTGGACTTGCAAATCATGTCAAATCCCAGAGCGCTCATTTCCTCAAGGTTCCCAGACCCGAGGAGAGAAAAAAACACCCTTTTAAAGGGATGAAAACAGAAACACATTTTTTGCATTACCCAGTCTGGGTACTGCCCCTTCATGCCAGACCACTCAGGGGAGGCATTTCCCAGGGTTTTCGGCCATCATTTCATTTCCTGCTCAAAGTGCAAAAGTGTTCAGCTCGTTCCCCAGTCCCCAGACAGATGTTTGACCACCCAGTAGATTAGTGTCTTTCTGTATATTAAAAGTGCTGGGGCAGTGCAGATTCTCAGTGTAGGGACAAAATTAGAAACCTTTCCACATCCCTGGTTCAAGCTGTTTAAAGACACCCTTGTTCATCTGACCATCCCAGATCTATGGAGACACATTGAGCACGTTTATTTGCAGAATGTCCAGCAAAAATCATCTCTAGCCTTTTAAGGTGCAATACTCTAGTTTCTTATTTATTTTCTAGAGCAGAGGTTGGCAAACCATATGTATTTTTGTAAAAAAATAATATATTGGAAAACAGCCACCCTCGTTCGTTAATGTATTATTTATGTTGCTTTCCAACAACATGGGCAGAGTTGAGTAGGGCCCTCAAAGCCTAAAATGCTTACTATCTGGCCCTTAGACAAAACGCGGGGTGACCTCCGTTCTAGATAATCAATTCAAGCTTGGCAGGTCATATGTCATGCATCTAAGCACATTCAATAATATCAACATCAATAATGATGATGACAAAAAGAAATAACAGCTACTTATGACTGACCGCTTACTAAGTCCCAAGCAGTGTGTTAAGGATTTTATACACAGCGTGTAATTTAATCACCATCATTCTAATGAGGAGCTATTATAATTCCCACTATACAGATAAAGAAATTGAGGCCCAAAGAGGTTAATTGTCTTATGCAAGGTCACAGAGCTAATCGGTGGGAGAGCTGGGATTTGCACCTAGGCTCTCTGATGCCCATGCTATGCCGGGCCCCTGCACTGCACCGCCTGCTTCCACGGAGGTAGTTTGCTCTCTGTGGACTGAAACGAACTGCAGATGCCCAACACTATGAATACAGAGACCCGAAAGTCACGGAAAGAAGAAACTGCCTTCCCGAGAAAGTTTTGGCCAGACCTCTCAGTGCTAAGGACGGGACACGCTTGAGATCTGGGTGAATGCACATCTCTTGCTCCCAGCCCACTTGTCAGCCCACGTCTCAGGACATCCTGTAGACCCCACGCTGGCCTCAGGAACCTACTCACTACACCTGAGGAAGCCACTTCATGCCCCAGACTCCAGAGCAGGGCTCCAGAGACCTGCGGGTGTCTACGTGAATCTTTTTTGTGTCAACCATGTTCAAACATTTGCCCAACATTGGTTTACAAAGAGAAGTTATTCACTGCTAGAGAAAAGGTCAGGGAGGGCAACTGGTAACAGTAGCAAAGTCCCCTAGCTACTGTCCCAAGCAGTTCAGCAGCTGCTACAAATCTACGGTGGCCGAGAAACACAAAAGCCCCGTGCTTAAGGGACCCACCAGCAGCTGCCAGGGGGAGGTTACCCCCAGGCATGCGGCCCCTTGGGGTCTGAACCTGGGTCCCCCACAGGAAGCATCTAAGAATTTCCGCAGCTTCACACGCTGTTCTCCCAGTGCCAACACCTGCCTGTCCCGCCCCCGCCCCCGTCCTGTCTCTCTTTATTCCCCATGATGTCTATGCCATGAGCAGGGGCTCCCCAGGCCTCCCTGAACAGCCCCCCTGCATCAGCTCTTCCCCTCAGGGGAGGTCGAGTGACTGTCCAGCATAGACAACACATCCTGCAGAGCCACTAGGAAGGCTAGAGGGCCAGCCCTGTGACAGGAGTGAGCCCAGGGCCACCAGAACAAAACCAGGTCTGTTCACAGGCATAACTTGTTCCCCAGGCACAGCCCCCTCAAGTGCCGCAGCTCTTGACCTCTGAAGCCAACACAAGTCACAAGTCGGTCTGGGTCCAGAGGAAGCGTCACTGACCTTGGAGCAAGGTCCCCTGATTGCATCTGAGAAAGCCGACTTAAGCACCATCTTCTCAAACGAAGTGGGCCTCTCCCTCCCCCTGCCCTCCCAGAGCACTCAGCCAGCCCTCCTCCTGCTGCCGGCATGCCCCCGGGGTTTACCTTCACAGCCACCAGCATCTTGTCCTTGGTTGGGCTGAGGTTGTAGCACTCGGCCAGGAAGACCTTTCCAAAGGCTCCCTCGCCCAGTTCTCGCTTCAGCACGATGTCTCTCCTCTTAATGTGCTGCACATCTGTAGGAGGGGACAGACAGGAGGGCAGCAACGTCAGTCCTTGGAGCTTGTCGCCATTTGGTGGCCCAGGGAGACAAGAGAGTGCAGGGGTCTAGGTGGAGAAACGGCTGCTGAGTGCATGGCAGGGACAGGCAAACTCTAGCACCCCAACTTTGGCATGAAAACTGCCATCGCTTGGTGGTTTGAGAGCCTGACCCAGAATCGAATCTCAGCACTTCCCCTGCCTAGCTCTACCCTCCTACGCCATAGTGTCCTCTGCTAGAAAACAGAGTCAATAGTAAAGCCTCAGAATTCTGGGAGTAATCACCTGTAGTTCTTGGAGATAGTATAAAGCAGCCGCCATGGTTACTGTGCACACGAATCCCCTGGGGATCTTGTTAAAATGCAGATTCTGATTCAGTGGACCTGAGAATCCACATTTCTAACAAACTCCCAGGTGATATTCATGTGTTTCTGGTCGCACTCTGAATTGTAAGGTTTCCAGGGTACGGCTGAGAATAGGGTTTGAATCCTGGCTCTATCTCCTTACTAGTTTTTTGAGCTTGGGAAAGTTATTTGACCCCAGAGCCTCGATTTCCTCATCTGTAAAATGGGATTAACAAGAACACTTACCTCGCTGAATTCTTGTGAGGATTAAATGAGATAATCCATATAAAGAGCTTGGCCCAGAGCTGGCGACAAACTAAAGACACACAGGCCTGCACATACACGCTGTGCGCACAGAAGCCACACACATACCCTGTGCACACACACCACACACACACACCACACACATACACTGTGCACACATACCCCATGCACACACACATTGTGCACACACACACACCGTGCTCACACACCTCATGTACACACACACCACACACATAGACCATGCACACATACCACGTGCACGCATACCACACACACACACCACACACATACACTGTGCACACATACCCCATGCACACACACATTGCGCACACACACACACACCGTGCACACACACCTCATGCACACACACACCACACACATAGACCATGCACACATACCGTGTGCACGCACACACACCGTGCACACACACACACCATGCACACATACTCCGTGCACACGCACACCACACACATAGACCACGCACACACATGCTCTTGTGGTAACCTATGGCTGTAATGACCCTGGCGCTGTAGCTGGTTTGTGACAGAGACTGCTAAGCAGCAGCTAAAGCTATCTGGCAGGGACCTCTACTTTGTGTCTGTGAGAGAGAAAGACCAACGAGAGCAGGAAAGGCAGGGACCGCCCCAGAAGAGGGTCTGTGCAGAGAAGGGCTGCCACCGCCTCTGCTAATTTAGCAACCTAATTAAAGTCTGCCTGCCAGGAGAAAGCAGAGCCGTGACCTCAGCCCTCCCACCTATTTGGAAAGAATGCTCTGAAGGAGCTGTACAGCGGCGGGCTGGCGACGAGGGTTGAGCGGGAGATTACTCACTGACCTTCATGAATTGTTCAACAGGCACAAGCCCACTGAACTCCTGCACGAACATTGTGCAGAGCGTCGCACAGCCAGGAAAGAGGACTGTTCCAAACGACTTTGTCAAGAAATGACAGCTGAAGATCCAGGACCACGACAGACTGTCCCCGTGGAGGAGACGTGACAGGAGCAGAGGGGCATGGCGGGAAGGCTTAGGTTCGTGTTGTGGTTGGTTTGGGGATTCCTTTTGGCACAGATGTCACAAATCTTTTTTGTTTTTCCCCATCAGAGTTCTTGGTATCCTCGTGGTATCGCAGAGGATCTACCCAGCGAGGGTGCGTGGGAGGAAGCATTTGCAAACTGCTACCTCCCCCTCCCCCAAGACCCACAGGCTCACACTGCTGGTGGGTGGTGCTCACGGGCCACAGGGCTGCAACGTCCCAGTCTTTGCAGCAAGGGGATTACAAGGGGTTCCCTTCTCTACACCCTCTGTCTCTGCTTCCCAGCCTCCAAGGAATGGTATTAATATTTGCTGGCGACGAGAAGGCTAAAGAGTCTCCCACAGAGAGAAAATGGGAGGTCGGGACCTCTCTCTCGGGAGGCCACCGGCACATGCCGCCTAATCACTCCCAGGTGACAAGTGGTGGCGCCTGCGGGCCTGCGAGCGGAGTATCCTGGCACGGCCTGGGAGCTGAGAAGGGGCTGGTGGTGGCAGCTGTGCAACGCCAAGCCCACGTCTCTGAGCATGCAGGGTGGCAAGGGACGGAAGCCAGAGGCGCTTGGCTCAAGACCTGGGTCCTCCAAGGGCTTGTGCACTTCACCCCAAACACCTTGGGTCTCAGATTCCTCACCTGTAAAATGGGCATGGGTGGCTAATACAAGTTCTACTTACCCATTACCTGAGCTATAGTAGGCGGAAATTTGTAAACTTCTAAGTCCTCAAAAATGTAGGTTGTGCTTTAGTATTTTCATCATTATAGTTATTATAGTATGAATAGGGGAAACAAGGGTCTAGCCAGGCAACCCCACCTGGTGGCTGAGTACAAGGACAAGCCATGACATCTGGGGAAGAGCCTCCTTTAGCCCCAGACCCCTCCCCAGTCCCACTCTCCCTCCACACTGTGACAGGAGAATCATGAAACTTGGGTGTACACCGGCACCCACTACAGGGCTTGGGAAAACAGATTGCCGGGCTCCTCCCCCAGGGATTCCAACCAGGAGGTCCAGTTGGGGCCTGAGAATGTGCATTCCTAAGTAAGCAGGTGCTGCTGCCACAGGGACCACACTTTGAGAACCACTGGAACAGGACTTCATTGGTGGGGTGAGGAATTAGCCAGCTGAAGAAAGATGCTGAGCTTTATAGCTTGGCCTCCACGAATACCTTGCCTGCAAATAGCTGAGTTGTGCTGCACTGCATCAAGACCAGGGGGAGGTCAGGAGTCCTGGGCTCACCTCCGAGCTCCTCCTCCCCTCCCTAGCTGTGTGGCCTGGGTTGGATCAAGTCCCCTCTCAGAGCCTCAGCTACCCACCCACACAATAGACATCACGCCTTTCTTGCCTTCTTATGTTCTGGAAACATCTCTACAAAGGCAAAGCACTATTATATATTTTCCGGGGTCCCTAAGTCCATCTCTGGGCCAGGAGACCTCACCAGCACCCTCGGGACTTGACACGCCCAGCCACAGTGAATGCAAAATGAGCATGGGGGAGCTTTACAGCAAGCTGGACTTCGTGTCTCAGCCGCTGTGCCTGGGTCAAGTCTCAGAACCTTCCTCCTGCTCTCCCTCCCTCGGCAGCGAGGTCACGGGCCCTGGAAAACTCAGACAAGCCACGTGGGCGCAGCACCCCGGGAGTGTTTCCCCGCCCCGCCTCAACATCCCGAGAATCGCGTGCCTGGCGCCTGGCCGCAGCTGCAGCCCCCGGCCGCCGCGGGCACGGAGGGCTTTGACGCTGACAGCCTCTCGGGTAGCAGAGGGCAGGTGAGCACATTGCTGGAAGCAGAAACCCATCTGCGTCCTGCGAGCGCGTGAAAAAGGCCGAACAGAAGCCTCCTACGGGCCAAAGTGTCTTCCCCAAATGTGCAAACAGATCTTTTTCATAGACGTGAAAATACTCAGCGGCTCAGAATGAGACAGCCTCGGCTCATCCCAGTGGTTCAGGGTGACAGCACGTCGACACCAGTGCCTGCGCCCAGCGCTGCACGGAGCGGCGCGGTCTGGGGAGGGCAGAGTTCATCCCGCCGCAAATCCTCCCCCCAGAGACAACGTGTTCCCGGCCACGGGGATAAGAAGCTCCACACGGTAACCGGGGAGCTTTGGCAGAGAGTAGCTGGATTTAGGCCAAACGTATAAGGCAAATCACTTCCATGTGGCCAACCCCAGGCCCCAGCGAGACTGCAGACTGCAGAATATCATCTCAGCAGCTCCCTTCCCTGAACCCAGCGAGGAAGAAGTAGGGCAAAGGCGATTCATTTGCGCCCAATCCTACTATGTGCCCCACATTTGATTCTCTTCGTAACCCCGAGGGATACGTGTTATCCCACCCTTTTCACAGATGGGAAGACAGAGGGGTAACGTTCCCAGTTCTCAGAGGTAAACAGCGCCAGGCAAAGGCTTGCTCTTCTTTTTGTGCCCCCCCCAACCCCGCCCCGAGCCTGTGTTCTTCCCTCTCCCTTACCCTGCCTCTACTGCGTCCTCCCAGACTACGGCCACCAAAAGGACCTGGTCCACAGACGCGCAGCCCTGCGTCCCTGCCACCTTCTATCTCTGCCCAACTTTCCCTGCTCGTGCTGGGGCTGTATCGCTGTATCCCACATCTTCCCAGGGGAAGGGAGGAGCCCTCTCCGTCCCCTGAGGACAGGGCAGAGCAGGGAAAGGTCTGGGCAGCGGGGTGGGTGGGGGAGAGTGTGGGAGGAACAGCCCCTGCCCAGGCCCCGGGGAACGGCCTGAGTGAGCTGTTTCGTCTCTGACGTCCACACGTCTATTTGGGTCCCTACTTGTGCATACTTTTAGCTCACACAGCACTGCTCAGAGCTGCCTCTGGTGAAGCCATCTGACCTGCATGCCAAAAAGTGATGGATTTTTCTAGGAGGAGAGGGCATCCATCTCCTTGTACTGCCTGGCTGGCTAGCCCAGCTGAGTCTGGGTCACGGGGCCCAGACATCAAGACACTGGAAAGGGAGGAAGAGAAGAGGACACAGCCCAGCTGTGGGAAGACCTCCCCATCTCCAGCAAGGACGGGGCAGCAGGAGGAAGCAGGGGGCTGGCCGGTAAGGGGAGGCGTCTCTGGGAAATGAAAAGGGCTCCTCGGGCCTTCTGGCCTGGCTCTTCCTAACTCCTCTCTTAAGACAGCCACCGACTGGGTTCCACCGGAGGAAGCCCCCTGTAGATCTTGCTCCCACAGGACAACTGGCGCATCTGATGCAAGTAGAGAATGAGGATTTCTGAGTTTCAGGGACTGCTCCAGGAATTCTTCCTCTGTAGTGGGGACCAAGATAACTATTCCATATGTGTGGGATTCACTTCTGGGAGGTCTTCCAGGCCTGCAGCAAGCTTGACCC